GGTATCAACAAGACCTCATACGGCCCATCCTCTCAATCGTCCCTCTACTTCTCAGAAGTCCAAAAAATCTCCATTGTTCAAATCTCCTTTAACCCCTCCTTCACTTCTTCCACCTCCAAATTTTACCTTCCTGGTCTCTGTACCTGGTTCTTCCCCTCTCACTGGCTCTGTTACAAGTGTGGAGGTTCACCCTCCTCATGCTGTGCCTTCCTCCTCTGTCCCCTCCCCAGTTTCTTCCTCTTCTGCCACCTCCCAGGTTTCTGCCTCTTCAGTCCCCTCCCACACTTCTTCTCCAGTTCCCTCCACCCTTTTGTCCACCCCTACTTTTGTAGAGTCCATTATGGTTCCAATCTTTACTCACCCTCCTCCTTACATCTCTAATATTGTCTCCCATGCAACGTCTTTGAATTCCGAAACGCTTGAAGCTATCTCTGAATACATTGCAGAGACCAAACCATCAATGGAAACTGATCCACCCCCTGTTTGTTCTCTTTCCTCTTCTCCATCTGCGCAACTCCTTTCTTCACAGTGCACTGTTCCTTCGCTGCTTGAAAGTTTTCCGCTACCGCCGCATGTGGACTTTTCTAACCCCTCTAGTCCGTAGGTATCCTTACCTGCCGATTTTTGGTATCTTTATCGTTACCAATCTTGGCCTATTTACAGTGGAATATACACAGCCTCGGGTAATCGGGGTGAGCTTCAGATGTTGCTCTCCCAGTTTTTCCCTGCTGGTGTTTGCTTACAAGTACCAAAATTACACTCTGCTGTTATCTATCCCATCTCAGGCTATAATTTATTGCATTCTTCGGACCCTTTTAGTGATGGGACCTTTAATGAAAGTGCCCTTCTATGCACTGATATTCTGTACCATCTGTTATTTGTTCGTACTTCGCTGCATTACACAGCAGCCTGTATCCACTTGCATAGGTGGTATACACTCTGTTCTTTGTGTATCTCTCCTTCTCGAGCATTATCTGTCCTGGATGTTGCCTTTCTTATTTCGTCCTTACCGCCACCACTTCTGTTACTTGGCGATTTTAATGCCCATCATTTCCTCTGGGGGGGGGGTCTCACTGATTCCCGTGGCATTCAGTTGGAGGCTTTTCTTGCTTCCCACCCCCTCCATGTTTTAAATACAGGTACTCGAACCCATTTCGATCCTCGTACTCATACTCTCTCTTGCATTGATATCTCTGTCTCCTCTTCCTCTACCGCACTAGACTTCACCTGGTCTGTTCTCCCGGACTTACATGACAGCGATCATTTTCTAATCATTCTTACATCTTCATATTCACCACCTCTTTGTAACCCATGCTGGCAATTTGATCAGGCAAATTGGGACCTTTACTCACAACTAACTGCTTTTAGTGAGGTTCCTTCTTTGTCCTCCATTGATGAGCTTTTACACTTCTTCTCGTCCTCAGTTTTAACCGCAGCTTCTCATTCTACACCCCAGACCTCGGGCAGGCATTCTCAGAAGTGCGTGCCTTGGTGGTCTCCTGCTTGTGCTCGGGCAGTATGTTTGAAACGCGCTGTGTGGGGCAGGTACTGGTACAGTAGAACCACTGAGAGACTTCTTGAGTTTAAGAAGAAGCGTGCGGTCGCTCGCCGTGTCATTTGTGACGATAAACACACTTGCTGGAGATATTATGTTTCCACCATCACCTCTGCTTCCTCTTTGAATGCAGTCTGGAAAAAAGTGCGGAAATTGAGTGGTAAATACTCTCCTGAACCGGCTCCTGTTCTGTGGGTCGCAGGTGTTGATATAGCAAACCCTCTTGATGTTGCCATTGAAATTGGGATTCATCTGGTCCGTATTTCTCAGGGGTTCCATCTATGCCCCTCGTTTCTTTCCTCAAAGTCTGCCAGAGAGTTAGCACCCTTGGACTTTTCTTCTCTCTTGAAGAACCGTATAATGTGCCTTTTATACTTCAAGAACTAGAGGCGACACTTTCAGCTTGCCGATCATCGGCAGCTGGCGACATTCATATTCGGATGTTGCAACATTTACATAAGTCAGCCCTTGCAGTCCTCTTACACCTCTTCAATCTTCTTTGATCACAAGGAGTTCTTCCCCAGCTGTGGAAATCTGTCATTGTTCTCCCATTCCGCAAACCGGGTACTTCGGGACATGATGCCTCCCACTATCGTCCCATTGCTCTTACCAGTGCAGCTTGCAAAGTGATGGAACGTTTGGTAAATCGACGTTTAATGTGGTATTTAGAGACACACAACAGTCTCTCCACTAGTCAATATGGCTTTCGTAAGGGCCTTTTTACCATAGACCCCTTACTACGCATGGATACATATGTTTGTAATGCCTTTGCGAATAACCACTCAGTTATTGCCATATTTTTTGACCTTGAGAAAGCATATGACACAACTTGGAGGTATAATATTTTGGCCCAAGCCCACTCCTTTGGCCTCCGAGGCAGTCTACCATCCTTCCTTAAGAACTTTTTAACTGACAGACATTTCTGTGTTCGGGTTAATATTGCGCTCTCCCCGGACATTGTCCAAGTTAAAGGCGTCCCCCTGGGATGTGTTCTGAGCACAACACTTTTTCTCCTTGCTATAAATGATTTGGCCTCTAGTCTTTCATCCAGTATTTGGTCATCACTCTATGTTTATGACTTCGCTATTGCTTGTGCAGGCGCTGACTGTCACCTCATTCCAGTTTCTCTCCAGCATACGGTCGACCGTGTTCCTAATTGGGCCACCATGCATGGGTTTAAATTTTCCAGTACCAGAACTCGCCAAATTACTTTCACTAGATGTTCTGTCATCTCCGATCATCCTTTGTACCTTTATGGCTCACGTATCCCTGAACGTGATACAGTCGGGTTTCTAGGCCTTCTCTTTGACCATAGGTTATCCTGGAAACCTCACATTACCTCTCTGAAGGAAAGTTCTCAAAGCTGGCTGAACCTTCTTAAAACCCTTGCTCATCTTTCATGGGGAGCTGATCGTCGAACTCTCCTTCGCCTACATTCAGCCCTCATTTTATCGAAACTCGATTATGGTGACCAGATCTATTCAGCGGCTTCTCCTGCTACTCTCTCTAGCCTTAATTCCATCCATCATCAGGGATTACGTTTATGCCTTGGTGCTTTTTGCTCTTTCCCTGTTGAGAGCCTCTATGCAGAAGCGAATGTTCCATCCTTGTTCGATTGCCGTGATGCCCATTGCCTTCGCTACTATGTACGCTCTCATGATCATCTCCGCAGTCCTTCCATTTATAGAATGGTCACCGATATTAGTAGACATTCTTTATTTGTTCGCCGCCCCTGTTTGCTCCGTCCCGTTTCTCTTCGCCTACATTCGCTCTCGTCTTCCCTTCAGTTGCCACCTTTCTATGTTCGTGTAGCATCTCGCTTTTCCCTACCCTCCCTGGGAAGTTCCAGCTGTTCGAGTCTGTTCTTTCTCACTCCCTTGCTCAAAAGCCCAACTGCCTAAGGTAGCTTCCCGTTCTCTTTTTCTTGACCACTTCCACTCATTCTCATGCCATCGCAGTGTACACAGATGGCTCTAAGTCTTCTGACAGTGTCAGATTCGCAGCAGTGTTTCCAGACAGCGCCATGCGAGGGCATTTACTGTCTTGCAGCACTTATCCATATTGCATCTTTGCCCGTGTCATCATTTGTGGTTGTTTCAGACTCCCTTAGTGCTTTACAGGCTATACAAAAATTTGATACACCTCGCCCCTTAGTTCTCCGTATCCAACTTTGGTTATGCCGTATCTCTACCAAGCATAAAGATATTGTTTTTTGTTGGGTCCCTGATCATGTTGACGTACAGGGCAATGAACAGGCAGACACTGCTGCGCGGTCAGCAGTACATGACCTTCCAGTTTCATAGAGGTGTTCCATTCACGGACTATTTAGCTGTTATAGCTACCCACCTTCACACCCGTTGGCAACATCATTGGTCTGCTCTGCTCAATAACAAACTTCGTTCTATTAAACCGAGTATAGGTTACTGGCCATCTTCTTGTCATCAGTGTTGAGGTTGGGAGACTACTCTCTCCTGCCTTCGCATTGGCCACACTCATCTTACTCATGGATATCTCATGGAGAGGTGCCCTGCTCCTCTCTATGAGAATTGTCATGTTCCAGTATCGGTCAGCCACATTCTGTTAGACTGTCCACTCTATCAACGAGCAAGCAGAATTTACCTCTAACATCGTCTTCACTCTGCTGCTCTCTCTTTACCTTCCCTGCTTGCTGATGGACCCTCCTTTCATCCGGACTCTGTCATTGACTTTTTGACAACTGACTTACTCCACAAACTGTGATGATGATACCTTTAGCACTCCCCTCAGCCCTTTCTACTTCAGTCTCTTGCTACCCTCTACCCCCGCACTATACCCTGCCCCGCTGTTTTCTGTTACCTACTAATCATCCCTTCCCCCTTTTGCCGCCCAATACCCTCTCTTCCTTCCCTGCCCTGTAGGGCTGTATAGCCCTTGTGGTTTAGCACTTCTTTTTGATAATAAAAATAATTGTGATGAATTTAATAACTTTTTTATTATTTTGAAACATGTCTTGATAAATATATTGTGATAAACATTAATCTTGTTCAGTTTTTAATTTTTTTTTTTTTTTTTTTTTTTTTTTTACACACAAGAAAATATCAAATTTTATGAGTACTTTTTTTCTCTATCAAAGTTAATAAGATATTTTCATATTAAATGCAGTAAAATTAGAAATTGTTACAATTCAACCAATATTTAAATTCTCAGAGTGCCCAATTTAAAAAATAATATAGTATGTTTTTCAGTTGCAGACATTGGATTCTATTCAGATCTACTCAGTAATTGCTATGAGCTTAGTCTTAGCTTATTGGAATTTTCAACTATTATAGTCCTGAAGTTGCTATAGTCCTGATGTTGCTTGGTCATCTAAGTGCCAGTCAAACATTTTTCTGTTTCTACATTTTTTTGGGCACGCTTTGTTTCTTGGATACCAGACGTTAATAGGAATATTGCCTTTATTTTTCAGTTAATATATGGGCACTGTTTGATAAACATGAACTGATGATGTCACTGGCTTCCTGCTGATGTTGGCAGTTGTGGAAATGTCTCTTAAAGTATTGTGCCTACTGTACTCTGAAACACAGTATGATAAAACAACATTCAACCCAATTACTGTATGTCTAAAAGTATGTGAGGAAGAAATGTGGAGTTGGCTATGTTGACAGCTGGAGAATTTTTTTGTTACTCATGGAACTAGTCAGACAGGTGTTGCAGATAGAAAAATGAACTGAGTTGATCGTGTGCTTTTACCATGAAAATATACCAAGTGTTCACATTAGAAATTAACTGTATATGATCAGTCATAAGTCACTCTTCATTGTTTTTTTAGTACCTTTCCTGCCTCTTCTTTCCCCCTTAAAAAATAGTTGCATGTTATAGAAATATAATTTTAGCCTTAGCCAAAAATAAAATAAAAAATGGATACTGTAGAGTATTCTCAGATTGTGCTCTTGTTAAAAATGTTTATTTAAAAATTATTAGTTTTTTTTTTTTTTTTTAGGTAATGACTAATTTACTGTATTTTAAAACTTTAAATAAAATTTTTAAAACTGTCTGATAAATTGTTACTTGCACACTGAAATAAGAGTTTGAAATGTGATCAAAATTGCAAAGCAATGTGTTGATTATACTCTCATACTCGACATTTTGTAACTTTGCAGTTATGTTCTAAAAAATGTTTGAAAAATGTGCAACACATGACACTATAATTCCACGTCTGTTGTTAAGTATGTAGCACCCACTGTGAACAGGTACTCGACGTAAAAATGAATATGTAGAGTAGAAAGTCCTTTTGGACAAAGTTTCACTACGGCAAGCTTTCTCAACAGTATGTAGACTTGGGAAAGTTTGTGTAGCTAAGTAACATCTTGTCAAATAGATTCTCCACCCTATGTTGTAACGTGGCATTGTCATGGATGTTGAGTAACCAATTATATGACCCACACATAGACATTTGCCACATAATGTACTGCATTGTAATAATTTTATTATGGAAAAAGTGGCAGGCAGGGTTGTTTTTTCTCCAGAAATTAATCCTAATTTTCCTGTAAGAAATAACTAAAGGTCAGCTATTACATTGGATATGGTTAATCAAACAGATTTTAAGTACCAATTCACTTGTTTCTTCCTTTACTACAACTCTACAGTTGATGAAAAAACTGGCGGCCTTCATTGGTGATTTTTCCAAGACTTCCCCCCCCTCCAAAGTCGGCTTGATTTATGGGCAGATCTATTATAAAAAGTTATCTTAAAGTACAGTATAGAGTAATCCCTTGACTTATGGCCGACTGTATACTGTTTCATTGTTAATACAGTACAGTATATGCAGATGTTTTATTATACAGTAGTTACATGCTGTATCCTTCTGATGAATGAAGCATCTGCTATTTTTTTGGATCAAGTAGAAAATAGAGGAAATAGAATATTTTTTCTTCTCAATTCACTTTCCCTCAATTTTTTTTTTCTCAAAGATCTCTGAGGCAAGATCATGTGTATGCCAAAAGATTAATAATGTTAACAATGAGTTATATCTTGCATCAAGAGATGTTTTACAGTACAGTATAAATATTTTGCTAGTATTGTACATCATAGGCAACACTGTAGGGTGGTCATGCAGATTTTTTTGGAGTTTGTTCCTTTGTGATTATACTTCGCTGTTTTATCACAACCTATGATGAGGAGTACATTGATATAAAAATCTTCCAATAATTATATTTATTCCTCATGAGAAAATGGATAAACTTCACAAGTAATAATTTCTTAGTGGTGGAAGGTGAATTTATTTTTAACATTGTGACTCTGCATACCCTTAAAAATGCAGGCAAAGTTCTGTATGTTTATTGCAATATGCCTCTTCAAGTGGGGCTCCTTGGCGTGGTGAAGAGGCTCTTGGTCTGAGGAATTAGACCTGTCGGTCTCCTTCCTCAGACCGAACCTAATTACCCCCCAATCCCCCCTTCCCTATCCCATCCTCCCCTTTTTCCTTTCCTCCTCCCCACCCCTCCCTTTTGCCCTTCCTGTTTTGGCCTTTGGGATTTTTCCCACAGGCGTGCTAGTTCCTGGGTAGGGAAATGGGTACCAGGGTCCATCCCATTCTGTTGAGGCTCTTGGCAGTAGCGTAGTTTGCAGTGGAATCTGGATCACCTGGGGATGTCCCGATCCCTCTCCGGTATCCCGGAGGGTGGCTTTGGGTGTCTTTCGGGCGACGGGTGTATCTCTGGAAGCCACCTTTTGGATTCCGGGGGTGGTGGCCGAAGGAGGTATGCTTTGTGGCAGATATCCGGCCGCCCTCTCTTTTGTCCACTGAGGTAGCTCGGCAGATGTGAGGTTGCTATCCCAGATTGCTGGTTTACTGGCATGATGGGTAGGGTATGGCACTGATTAAATGCTGCATCTGCGCTACTTGCGGTGCTGAGGTCCTCTTGGGCGCGGAGGGAGATTTCTGGCCCTTTCATTCCTCCTAGGAACTATCCCTCCCCGGTCCCCCCTTTTTTTATTCTTTTTTTTATTTTTATTTTCTTTTCTTTCTTTTTTTTTCTTAAAAACAAAAAGAAAGAAGTAACCTAACCATTGAGTACCCGATCCATGACCCCGCTACCCCCTGGCCCCTTATTGTTACAGCACCCCATTCTGACCTCGCCTCGTCTTTTGGCCACTCTTCAGACATTCCTAAGGCCCCTGTACCTCTTGCTGGTGCTGTTTCCTCACCCGCTTCAGGTACCAGGGCTTCCACGGACTCCTTCGATTTGTCTGACCTCCGCTCTCCTTTGACTATGCTTCCGGCTTCTCCCTCTACGGTGCGGCGATTTTCGAATCGCCAGCCCGTCCCACGTCAGACTGACTCTGGTCCCACTTCTAAACATCAACGACAATCTCCTAATGATGTTACTTCGTTAACTTCCCTTTCTACTCTGAAAAGACCGACACGTCATGCACTCCCTCTCCACACTCAGTTTCAGACCACACAATGGACTAAATTCTTTACATTAAGACCGACTTCTTCTGCTGCCTATCTTTCCGACCATAGTATTGGCAAAGCGCTCCTGCGCCACGGTAGAGATATTTCCTTTCATGCTCTTCAGAGTGGTACGCGCATCATCACAGTCCAGAATTCTACTCAAGCTCATGATCTTTCTCTTCTTTCACATATCGATACTAATCCTATCACTATCGAAAAACATCATTCCCTCAATTCTTGTAGCGGTACTGTTATTCTGCCCCATACCATAGTCCAACAGAATTTCCAGACATGTGGCACTGACGTTCTCGAACAACTGGAACTCCAAGATCTCCCAATTCTCAAGGTAGACACTTATGTTCTTCCTGCCCGTGGGCGAAGACGATACCCTTGCAATGTGGCTTGTTTAACTTTTGACAGCCGTGAACTCCCGTCCTCTGTTTATGTAGCAGGACATCGGTTGCAAGTTGGGAAGGTGATCCCTACACCGCAACAGTGTAGGAATTGCTGGCGATTTGGCCACCCAGCAAAATATTGCAGATCTATAGCCGAATGCCCAGTCTGTGGTGCCGATGACCATTCTAATACATCTTGCAGCCAAACTCCCTTTTGCCTCAATTGTCATGAGGCTCGCCCTTCGTACTCTCGCCATTGCCAAGTCTACTTAATTGAGAGGGAAATTCGTTGCCTCAAAGAGGTAGAAGGTCTCCCTTATGCTATGGCGGTTTCTCATCTCCGCCTCCAAGGGAGACTGCCCCATGTTTCTTATTCTCGTGTTTCAAAGCGTCCCCCCACTTCTGGGGTCACATCTTCTGCAGCCTCCTCTGCGGTTGCCAGCCCCATAGTCAGTCACTCCTGTATCTAATTCTTTTGTTGTCCTGGGCTCAGACGTCCCTACTTCATCTCCTCAGTCTGTCCTCACTTCCTCGTGTCCTTCCTCACAAACCCTGGTATCGACAAGGCCTTGTACGACGACACCTCCCAATCGTCCCTCTACTTCTCAGAGGCCCAAAAAATCTCCTTTAACCCCTCTTTCTCTTCATCCACCTCCACATTTTACCTTCCCGGTCTCTGTACCTGAGTCTTTCCCTTTCACTGGCTCTATTACAAGTGTGGAGGTTCATCATCCTCATACTGTGCCTTCTTCCCCTGTCCCCTCCCACATTTCTTCCTCTTCTGCCACCTCCCAGGTTTCTGCCTCTTCTGTTCCCTCCCACACTTCTCCAGTTCCCTCCGCCCTTTCGCCCCCCCCCCACCTTGGTACAGTCCATTACAGCTTCGATCTTTACTCAAACTCCTCCTCCTTCCATCTCCAATATTGTCTCCCATACGACGTCTCTGAACTCCAAAACACTTGAAGCATTCTCTGAATATATTGCAGAGACTAAACCATCAATGGACACTGATCCACCCTCTGTTCCTTCTCTTTCCTCTTCTCCATCTGCACAACTCCTTTCTTCACAATGCACCGTTCCTTCGCTACTTTAACGTTTTCCTTTGCCACCGCATGTGGACTTTTCTAACCCCTCTAGTCCATAGGTACCCTTACCTGCGGATTTCAGGTATCTTTATCGTTGCCAATCATGGCCTATTTACAGTGGAATATTCGCGGCCTCAGGGGTAATCGGGATGAGCTTCAGATGTTGCTCTCCCAGTTTTCCCCTGTTGGTGTTTGCTTACAGGAACCAAAATTGCACTATGCCATTATCTATCCTATCTCAGGCTATAATTTATTGTATTCTTCAGATCCTTTTCCTGATGGGACCTTTAATGAAAGTGCCCTTCTTCTACGCACTGATATTCCATATCATCAGCTATTTGTTCGTACTTCACTGCATTACACAGCAGCCCGTATCCACTTGCATAGGTGGTATACACTCTGTTCTTTGTATCTCTCTCCTCGGGCATTATCTATCCCAGATATTGCCTTTCTTGTTTCGTCATTACTGCCACCACTTCTGTTACTTGGCAATTTTAATGCCCATCATTTCCTCTTGGGGGGGGGGCACTGTGATTCCCGTGGCATTCAGTTGGAGGCTTTTCTTGCTTCCCACCCTCTCCATGTTTTAAATACAGGTACTCACACCCATTTTGCTCCTCGGACTCATGCTCTCTCTTGCATCGATCTCTCAGTCTGCTCTTCCTCCGCCGCATTAGACTCCACCTGGTCTGTTCTCCCGGATTTACATGAGAGCTATCATTTCCCAATCATTCTTACTTCCCCTTCATATTCACCATCTCTTCGTATCCCACGCTGGCAATTTGATCAGGCAAATTGGAATCTTTACTCACAACTAACTGTTTTTAGTGAGGTTCCTTCTTCGTCCTCCATTGATGAGCTTTTCCACCTCTTCTCATCCTCCGTTTTAACCGCAGCTTCTCATTCTATACCCCAAACTTCGGGCAGGCATTCTCAGAAATGTGTGCCTTGGTGGTCTGCTTGTGCTCGTGCAGTACGTTTGAAACGCGCTGCGTGGGGCAGGTACCGGTACAATAGAACCACGGAGAGACTTCTTGATTTTAAGCAGAAGCATGCGATCGCTCGCCGTGTCATCCGTGACGCTAAACGCACTTGCTGGCGCGATTGTCTCCACC